GAAGGAAGGAGGGAAGGAAGGAAGGAAGGAAGGAAGGAAGGAAGGAAGGAAGGAAGGAAGGAAGGAAGGAAGGAAGGAAGGAAGGAAGGAAGGAAGGAAGGAAGGAAGGAAGGAAGGAAGGAAGGAAGGAAGGAAGGAAGGAAGGAAGGAAGGAAGGAAGGAAGGAAGGAAAAAAAAAGAAAAGAACGGCACAGGCCAGCCCTTCCAAATTAAAACAAGAAGCCCGAAGTTTTCCTTTTTGGTATTAATATTATTTAACATTTAAAAATCCGGGAACTTCAAACAAACTTTCTGCAGGGAAAAGAAAGAGCAAAGAGCTGTTCTCTGGAAACCATTTGTTTCACAACTCGAATTGTGCCGTTTTGGCTTTGTAACAAAACTGAAGGCGCTCAACCCTGTCCCTCCCTCCCCCCGGCATATATCTTTTCAGCACACATTTTAAAATAAATATTCTTACGAGGCTTTCCAGAATGCCTCCTTGTTATGAATTGATAGGATACAACATCCCGCAGCTGCGCCTGGAAGACGAGATTCGATCCTTTAAACACCGGGATCACATCTGCGGGGAAAACCATTACCGCTGCTCCCTCAGCCCCGCTGCCGCGGATGGCAGCGCGACACGGGGACACGGGGAGCCGCTCCGTGCAGCCGGGCGGCCCCGGATCTGCAATATGGAAAATGGTCCTTTTTTTCCCTTTTAAAAATACTTCTTTTTTTCCCCTGTCTCTCCCCTCAAGCCCTTTTAATATTACCCATCTTCCCCCCCCGCTACTCAGCAAGTAAAAATAAAGCCAAGTGCGCTCAGTAAAGCCTTCCTGAAGATTTTAAGGGAAAAAAAAAAAAAAAAAAAAAAAAAATCCAGGGTCTATTCGGGTGTGTCCAGTCTGAGAAACACAGGGCGAATGCGACCGGGTTCTCGTCCCGCTCGACGATGAATTCAGCCTCCAGCACATTTTCGTAGCGCATTTGCTTAGCTAGGCTTTCCTGCTGAGAAATTCCGTTCGCCAACAGCGTTCATAAACGCAGACAGCATTTGTGCTGCGATCTCCTGCTCCGGAGTTTTCAGCAGGTGCCAGAGCTCTCTTCGGGGGCATACGTTCGTGCGTCCATGTATACGCACTATGAAATAAAACGACAGCTTTGTCTATTTAAAACCAAAAGAAACAACAGAGAGATGCTGAGGTTTTAAACGTTCCTATGTTTATAAGGCTTAGACTCGGTCCGAGTGTATTAATTATCGTGTTTCAACCTCTGTTTTCTCGGTAGTTTTAACGAGATGCTATGGTGCAAACTGCGCTGCCCGTCCTTCATAAGCTGCACTGCTCGGCCGGGGTATATCTGTACATATGGTGTGTGTATGTGTGTACGGTGTGTGTATGCGTGCATGGCGTATGTGTGTGGAGCTGCACGGGTCAGAAATCACTTCGTTCCCCAAACACAGAATGAGGTGCCAGCACTTACTGAAAGTACAACGCAGGATTGACATCTGTCTCCACGGTAGTCCATCAGAAAAACAAAACAAAACGGTATCGCTGAGCGCACGGCTGAAGAGATTGATCTCAACAAAGAAACGCGTTGCAGTCGATGTGCTTCCTCACCTCCTCGCACCCAGCGCGATACGTCCAGCCTTAATGACTCCATACTCCTTTCCCGTCGCCACACTCCAACCACCCCCCGGCTCTCTCCATCCAGCAGCCGGCCGGCCGCGCCAGGTGTCCCTCCGGAAGGGAGCAGCGCCCGCAGAGATCTGCGGGCTGAGCGCCGTGACGCAGGGCGATACCCTCACCCAGCCCTGTGCGCTCCGACTCCCGCAGCCGGAGCGCAGCGCAGCAGCAGCTCGTCACTGTGCCTCATGGGGGGTCACCTGGGGGAACTCCAGGGCGTTACAAAAACGCGTCCGGGGAGTGTTTGTTACAGGTCCCCTCGACACGACAGGCACCGGGCGGGAACAGAGCCCGGGGGCTGCCTCTCGGGGTGAGATGGGGCCCAAGTCCCACCCCTCTTCACCCACACCACGTGCAACGGCAGAAAATGGCTTCAAAAAGATTCAGTAGCCACAGGGTCAGGCCGAGCCGCGCGACCCGTTTAGCAAAAGCAGCGGAGGGCCGTCTGGGTGCGCGGCCCGGTGCGGCCGGGAGCCCACGGGAGCGTCCCGGGACAGCCTCCGCTCGCCTCTCCGCGCTGCTCTCCTTTTTTCCTTTCGTCTCCATGCCAGAACACTGGAAAGAATTAAGTTCTTTAAAGGTTTGCATTTGAAACCGTGGCTGGAGTAAACTATGAATCAGGTGTAAATAATTACCAACGTCAGGAAAACAGCAACTGCTGCGTGTGGTTTATTCATCTCTTTTTTTTCTTTTTTTTTTTTTTTTCCTTTTGAGTCCTTTGATCATTTCCATCCTTAACTGTTTGCCAAATTCACATCTTCTTAACGTGCTGAGAGCCCTCTGGTGCCCACAGCCCGGATCGGGTCGGTACCATTAGCGCTGAACGTAGGATGCTGCCGATTCGCAAAAGCCACCAGAGCCTCTCGGCTGACGGCAACAGGGAGCACGTGAGTTACGAAGCAGAATAAATGGTTCAAATACAGTGGAGCCAAAATCGAACGGGAGAGCTCCGCGGGGCAGGACAGGCGGGGTTCGGCCCGAACGTACGGAAATGGAAGCAACCATGGAACAAAAGACGCGCAGAAAAGGGAGAAATGCGGCCACAGATCACACGCCGTACAAACAAAAGCCCGGGGCTGATCCCACCCTTCCATCCACGTTCGCTTCTGCCCGCGTCCACCTCTCTTTTTGCCTACACTGCAGTTTGAACCCATTTGTCTCCTCAGAAAGCCGCGGTGGAAAAAGGCAAAGAAAGGACTTCTTTCTCGTGTGTGTCCTCTTTTAAAATCTCCCTGCACACCGAGACACCACCGGAGCATGTTCTGGTGCTGTAAACGTGTTTTTATCACGCCGTAAATTCCTGCCCCTCTGACAGAGCGGCCGGAAATGTAAATCACACCGTGGAGCTGAAGTTATGAAAAAGTTCGTTACGTTTCTGCGTCCTAAGGACGATCGCGGCGCTGCGAGGTCGGTGGAAAGGGGGCTGGGGGAGGAGGGGGTGAGATTGTTTCTTATTCTCCCTCTCTGCCGAACTGCGGCTCCGCGGTGCCGGGGACTTTGATGGGAAGGAGCGGACAATGTGCAGAGTCCCTGCCCGTGACACCCAGGCCACCGCCACTTGGGAGGTCTTTCGGCCTAATGCATCCACAGCTAACTGCTCCCAACAGGAGGCTCTGCGGATCAGCCGGGGTCACAATTACACTTCTGCTAAAGGCAAGGGCTTAAGGGGGAAAAAAAAAAAAAAATGGAGGGGGAGAGAGAGAGAGAGAGAGAGGAGAGAGGGCTGGGCGAGCGGTGGAATTAAAACTTTTCACTTCATCTGAGGCAGGAAAGGCCAAGAGCGAGTGAGGATAGCAGGACTCGTTCACACGAGGCATACGCGGGGGGGAGGTGGGATCGCCCCGTCGCGGAGGCCATGTGCCCGGGGATCGCCTGGCCGGAGGGCTGAGACGGCACTGAGCCTCCGGGGGGGCTCCGCGGGAGCCGCGCTGCAGCCCGCGCTCCTCGCCGCAGCGGCGGAGACCGGAGGAAAGGGAGGCGGGGGTTCCCGGCGGCCGTGCCAGGAACGGAGCCCCCCGCCCGTCCTCCTCGCGCCCCGCCCGCTCTCCCTCTCGTCCTTCTGCTCTGCCTAACCCCCTCTCCCTTCCCTCCCACCCCCCTGCTACCCGCAGACCCGACAGCAGCCGCGGGTCCCTCATCCCGCTCCGGCTGGCTCTGCACTCTCCCTGCCGAGAGACTGAGACATCGGTAGGGCCGAGCCTAGCCGGGGGCATCCCGCCTCGCTCCGTTGCTCTCCCCGTTCCCGGCCATGCTCGGGCCAGCGGCAGCCTCTTACCGTCTGACCCATCCGGCTCACCTCACCCTCCCCGGGTAGCGAAACGCCGTCCGGAGGCCGCCCCTGCCCCAGTGATGCCCCAGTGATGCTCCCGTCCCTGCCGCCTCCCTCTTACCTGAAGAAGACGTCCCGCTGCGGGCTCTGAGCGCACTGGAGGCGATCGGGGAGCTGAGAGCACCCCGGCGGAGGGGGAAGGGGGAGGGGGGCGGGGTGGATGGTGAGACATGACCCCCCCCGCGCCCCAGGAAGAGCAGGCGGGAGGAAGAGAAAGTGGGAGACCGGGAAGGTTTTTTCCCCTTTTCTCTCTCCGCTGGAGCCGAAGTGACCCGCAGTATCTGGAGAAGGTTTTTGAAGACGTTCAGGAGGGAGGGAGGGAGGGAGAGTTTTCTGCTGAGAAACTCAATCTGCCATACAGTAGCGGCCGCGTCTGGGATCTGTCACTGCTGACAGCACCGCAGGGCACAGACATGATCTTCCGCACAACACTGCAACTCCCCAAAATACCCTCCTCGCTCCCAGGGTGTCTACCGGGCTGCACCGCGCGCCTCCTCCAAAAGGGGGAAATCGGCCGAGCCCCGAGCAGCCGAACACTGCGAGCTGGGCGAGAGGCAGCACCCCCGCACCCCCTCCCGCTATTGGGAGCACACCGCCGGGGCGAGGGGCGATGGCACGCCCTGCCGGTGCAAAGGTCGTGCATGTAAGCGAGGGCGCCGTGAGATCGCCGAGAATGACTTCAGTGAATAATTTCAGAGACTGTTACGGCTTCGGGTAATTGCTGCGCGGCTCTATGAGAACCGCATTGGGGCAGACTCAGGGCCGGGCCGCTCGCATCCCCTAGTCCGGCCCGGTTTCACTGCGCTGCCCCCCTCCCGGTTGCGTGGTACCCCTGCGAGCAGCGCACCCACAAAGCCGCGGGGCCGTGGGCTCCGGGCTGGGCTGGGGGTGGAGGGCGGACCGATTTTATGATTATTTTTAATCTCTTCCGCCTCCTGTACTTTCTGGCAGAGCATTTCATTGTCTTTTAGGCTCATTTTAGAAAGCTGCCACGGGTTTGCACGCTTGTTTGGCTATTTCAAAGCTCACCATACGCAGCTATTTTAGCCTATGGCCACATATGGCATGCGAGTAGGGACCCCTATAGGAGAGTCGTCCTCCAGTTACCCCCACATGTTCTCTCAATGTACGCAGCCAGGAAACCACCTCTATGCTATGCATTAAAATATACATCCATATTTTTTCTTTCCCGAATCCTTCGGGCAACTCAGGGTCCGCGCATCCTCTGCACGGCACCCATCGGTGGGAGCCGCACGGCGCGGACGGGAGCTCCACTCCCATTGTTCTGCGCACACAGCCACTCCCGGCCGCGCTGTGCCACACTGGGATCTACTGGTGCTTTCCGGCTCGGCTTCGTTCCATGGCGTTATATTTTCCTTTCCTTTTACTGTTTTGGTTTTGCACCGCTACTCCTTGCTCGAATCCGGGTGCCGGTGGGTGCGATGGGAAGCGAAGCGCAGCATTACCGAATCACAAAGGAAATGTTCCTTTTCCTTTCGAGATTACACACAGACACAGCGGAGCGTTGCCGAATCTTAGGGGGTTTTGTTTTATTTCATTTTATTTTGCTGGAACAAATAAATGGAAGTGCGTGTTTTAATTAATTAATTTATTTCTTTATTAGGATCACGCGAGCGGATTTTAATTTTTTATTCTTTTTTTCTCCTGGAAAGGGAATTTTTTGTTCAGAGAATGTGACCCTGCAGCCGGAGGGGCTGCCGTTATCTCTGTTTCTGCAGACGGCTCCAAACGCTCTCCCACCGCCCCGCCCTGACAGCAGCAGTGGCTGCGGCGCACAGCGGGCGAGGGCTCCGGTCGCCTTACAGAGGTATTGCTGGCATCTCCTCGGGGGAAGACGAGCGGAGAGAGTGGCACGAAACGTACAGAACAATAATGTAAAAAGTTTGGGAAAGTAAGCTTGGCACTGTCGGTCCCGCTGAGTCATAGAATCGTGGAATCATTAAGATTGGAAGAGACCTCTAAGATCATCTTGTCCAACCCATCGCCACAACGGCCACTAAACCATTTCCCTCGGTGTCATATCTCCGTGTTTCTCAAACACCTCCAGGGACGATGCCTCCAGCACACCCTGGGCACCCTGTGCCACTGAATCACCGCTCTTTCTGAGAAGAATTTTTTCCCAATATCTGACCTGCACCTTCCCTGACACAATTTGAGGCCATTCCCTCTAGTCCTAACGATAAAGCCAGGGCTAACGCCTGCGCCTCGAGCGGGCCCGGCTCCCAGCGTGCCAGGACTCGGCGGGACGTATCAGCAGGTGCAAGGCCATCTCCAGGCAGCAGCAGCACTTGGAGCTGGAGCAGCCCACTTCCCAGCTCGCAAGAAGCCTGCGGCTTCCCGCACGTAAGCGCTGCACCTCGGGGTCAGCTGCCGGGACATAAGGTGGAAATCTACCTGGCCCGATGTTTGCTTTGGAAGCGAGCATCCACGCCGGGAGACGAAGATAAAGCCAGCGCCGGGCCGGGGACTGAGAGGAGCGGGGGGAGCGCCCGGCTGCAACAGCGGCTTTTGTTCTTGCTTCTCCCAGGGCCAAAGGAGCACACGGCGGTGGCGAAGGAGCCCCCAGGCTCGGAGCACGGCACCGCACCGCTGCCGGGCCGGGCCTGGAGAACACCGACGGGATGTCGCCCAGAGCGGGGATGGCTGCGGGCAGCGTGACGTCAGTGCAGCTTCTGCTCCGCGCCGCGAGATAGAGGCATCAGGGCCGGGGGAGGGAGACCCTAATCGCTCCCAGATGGCTCTAATAGCAGATATAAAGACTTACACAGAGTCCGAGAATAAATTTGTAATCAATGCTCTACCATAGGATCATCAAAGCGGCAACTTCGGGAGGGGAAAATGAGAGTGGGGTGCTCTGGGAAGAGGCAGACGTGCACGGTGGCGGGGCAGAGGGGAGCCCCAGTCGGGCTCCGCACCCTCTGGCTACAGTTAATGGGAACGCATAGTTCAGGAGCCCCGCGTTAATCTCCGTTGTCTGAAGCAACAAAGCCCAATTAGAAATGGAAAAGATTGGAATTCGCTGGCGAAGGCGTGTATTCTGGAGCCCACAAAATACAACAGAAAAAAAAAAAAACCAAAAAAACAACAAAAAAAAACCAAAACCACCACAAAAAAACAACTGTATTCCAAATAAAGAAATAAAATAAAATAAATGCAAAGCGTCGATAAGCCTCTCGTTACAGCAGAGGGGATTATGCCTGCAGGAGCGCAGAACGCGTTTCCTTCCCATCGCTGCTTGGAGGTTTCTCCTGGGCGCGTTTGCGACCGCCGGGCGGTACGTGTGAAGGAGGAGGATTAAGGGTGGGTTTCCGAGCGCGGGAGGAGGATATTTTGCTTCGAGGTTTTATTATTAACCTTCTCCCCCTCCTCCCCGCCCACCTTTGGGAATTGCCTTGGCTCAGTGGCATCCCCCGGGCGTGTTTACGTCCGTACAGCGCCCGCGAAAGTCCCGGCGCTCGTTACGGGGGTGTCTGCGGCTTGGGCAGAAGGGAGCCCATCACAGCGCTCTGACAACGAAAGCAAATTAGCAGTAATCGTTGCAATCATCTCCTGACGTACAGAAGAGCTCCTGAAAATGAGCGGGCGGGGAAAAAAAATAAAAATTAACCAACAAATTTTAAATCGCTGTTGTTGAGCTCATCTGCCCCGCTGGCATAAACACATCCCGCAGCCGCTGGCCAAACACGGGGCAGCCCCGGGAGACAGCGACCGGGGCTCGGCCTGCATCTCCACCACAGGAGCAATAGGCTCTGGGTGCCGAAGAGAGGCCCGCTGGGAGTACTGCTGTTTCTTTTCGGCTTAGGGGAAGGGGGGGAATTAGAAGTCATTTTCTCTAGAGGTGAGCGTCGGGCCGCGAGCAAAGCCGGGCCAAGAGCCGGGCTGGACCCACCCGGCTACACCACATCACGCAAGGAAACGCTGCGGAACGACCGCACTGCCCACAATCGGGTCCCACTGCAGCTACGTGCCCCGCACCTCCCACACAGCTGCCCTGAGGCCGAGGATCCCGTTCTTATCAGTCCCTCCGCCTCGCAGAGCGGGGCCGGGGTGCTGACATCCCGGCTACCATCAATTCACCTTCTGCCGCCCCGCTCCCCCATTTAGCCTTTTGCCGGCTCCGGGCTGTCTAGGGCTCTCGTGATTTAGCTCCGGGAATGACTGCTCCTGAGAAGACGGCAAAATCCTCACTACCGAACAATTAAAAAGAGATCCTCCTTAGCTGGTCCGGGGGGACTCCCAGGACTGAAAAAACGAACATTTCGAAAAGGAGAGTATTACGGATCGGAAAACCCGGGAAGGACAGCTCTCGGCAGCAGCCCCATGCCCTGGCGAGTGGCAAAGACTGAAGAAGGCAGAACGGAGACTGGGGGCTGCAGAGCCCTCTGCTTCGTCAGCCCGGCCACTAGCAGGCAGGGCAAAGCAAACAAGGGGGAGATTCCTCTCTGCAAGTGCTACAAACAAAGGCAAGTGGCTGTAAACACGGCCCCACGCAGGAGCGCAAGGCCGGGCCGCCTGACCCGCCGGGAAGAGGGCACGGCCCTTTGGTCCCGTTGTCATAACCCCGCAACCTCCCCAGCGCCGGCGCGGGACGCCCTGATCTTGGCTCGGGCAATCGCACCTCTACCTCCGCTCACGGTCGGGGGGCGGCGGGAGCCACTTCCTCGGGCGCGGGGCTGGCGGGCACACGGCCACGGACCTGCAGAGAGAGCCAGCACGGGTTTAGAGGGCGCGGCGATACCGAGCCGAGGTTTATCACGGAAGAGGTGGAAGGGGCTGAAAAAAAAAAAAAAAAAAAAAAAAAAAAAAAAAGAAGAAAAGGAAAGGGCTTTGTAATTCGTGAAAGCTTTGGGAACCACTGAGTTAATAATACTAAGCTCACCGCAGCAAATCGTAAACCTGCTGTCCTGGTCCCCACTCCGCGCAGAGCTCCGGCCCCTTTCCCTCTTCCCTGCTCGGTACGGAACTACCTGGGCCAACAGAGCTGAGCAGAGCCAAAATCCCCCGCCCGGCAGCCCTCTCCCGGAGAACACTGCAGGCACAGGGAGGGGGGAGCCGCCCCTCACCCCCTCCTCTCACTCGGGCACTGGGTTAAAAACGAACCTCGGAGCCATCTTTATAATTTAGTTTACTTCCGAATATTTTAAATATTATGAAAAAAAGCCATAAACAATGCTGTTATTCAAAACATTTTGAGGTATAAAACATAAAAAGATTTGGGTTTCTTTCCCCCCCTTCTTTTTTTTTTTTTTTTTGTAAAAAACACACACAGTGGTTTATTGAGTACTTACAACGCTTACACCTTCAATATTAATTAGATTCCACTTTTTCCCTTATGGACGGAAGTGCACATAACCAATAACTGCTGAAAACATCTCAGAATACCGAACAACCACAACAAAATCACGACACGAAATACGGAGCCGACCGAACGCGGGTGCAACTGCTTCTGTTGAAATAGAACTTTATAATCCCAGGAATATTTATATCCAAACGGCCAAGTATTAAAGATACACTTCACATACACACTAATGCCAGGGAGGGTTTTTTTTTTTTTTTTCCCTTTCTCCTTCTCTACCGTTCTGTTTTCCCGGGGGTTTTATACAGAGCAAATAACATTCACGGAACTACTAGAGACGTTATTACCCCTTACCAAGACGGAGTTTCCTCTTCATAGCCATCTATGGAATGCTTTTTCCCTCTCCTTCAAATATCCACATTTTAGGGGGGTGGGGGAGAAATTGCACATAAATAAGCGGGATGGTTCCGAACGCGAGAGTCCTCGGGGAGCGCCGAGCGGGGCCCCCGCCGCGCTCACTGCTTGAGCTCCAGCGCCCAGACGTGCTGCGGCCAGCCTGTCCGCCCTTTGGTTTTCTTATCGCTGCTGCTAACTGTGCTTTTCAAGATTTCGTTCTGGGAGACAGGATGCGAAGGGAGAAGGAGAGAGAGAAACAAAGCGGGGAGAGGAGAAACGAAGTTAGGCAGATTCCTGACTTCCTGGCTCGCCCCGACCGCGGCCCTGGAGAAAAGCTGCGAGCAAACGCCGCTCGGCCCGGGGCCTCCGCGCTGCGGGGACAGAGCACTGCTCGCGGGGCGGCCCCTCTGAGGGATGAGAGCTCGGGGCGCGCCGCTCGGGGGGCCCTCGGGGCTCCGGGACCGCGCCGCATCGCGCCGCACGGGCGGAGCCGCGGGCCTGCGACGCAACGGCAGCCGCCGAAACGCGGGCGAACGCGGCCCGAGCGCTCCGTGAGGCCCTGCGCGAAGCTGGGCTGGGCGAAGCGGGGCCTCCCGCTGAAGGTCGCGAGGCAGCTCCGGCGCGAAGGCGCGGCCGGGCCGAACGGCTCCGCAGTCACCGCGCCCCCGTCCCCTCGGCGAACCCCAGCTCTCGCCGCTGCCCACAACGAACCCCTCCCGCCCCGTCCCGCGGCACTGACCAGCTCCTTCTTCCTCTTCTCCTCCTTCACGTCCGTCTTCTTGATCTCTGCCTTGAAAGCCTCCGCCTCCCCGTTCTGGTCGTCCTTGGCCAGCAGGTCCATGAGGTAGGCGATGTAGCTGGTGGCTAGGCGGAGAGTTTTGATCTTGGAGAGCTTGGTGTCGGCGGGCACGTTGGGGATGCACTCGCGCAGCTCCGCGAAGGCGCTGTTGATGCTCTGAGTCCTGCGCCGCTCCTTGCGGTTCGCCGTGCCCCTGCGCTTCACCGGCCGGGGCCCCCCGAGCCCGGGCGGGCCGCTCCCGGGCGGCACCCCCCCGTAATGGGAGTGGTCCATGCCCGGCGCCCCGTTGGCGTACTCGGGGCTGTAGGACAGAGCCATGCTGTAGTCGGGGGGGGACATCTCCGGGTGGCTGCTGATAAGCCAGCCGTGGAAGTAGGGGTTCTCCTCGTGGCCGCAGCGGGTGGCGGCGGCGGCGGCGGCAGCGGCGGCGGCGAAGGGGTAACCTTCATGGTGCACCACCGGGTGGTGGGGGAAACCTCCCACCAGACTCATCGCCGCTGCCTCGCGCGCCCCGGCCCGCCCCCGGCCCCGAACGAAGCTCTCCCGCCGCCCGCCCCAGCCCGCCGCTCCGGCGGCACCGCTCGGCCCTCAGTGCCGCTCCATGGGGCGCTGCTGCGGAGTCCCCGCGGGTGCCCGAGCGATCCCCCCTCCCCAGGCGCCGCCGCCGCCGCTCATGCGTTGTGCCTCCACCTCCTTCTCCTCCTCCTCGCCCGGGGCTGGGTCTTCGAGGAAGCGCGCACACACGCGCGAGAGAGAGGAAAAAAAAAAAAAAAAAGAAAAGAAAAAAGAAAAAAAAAGCGCTACGGAGAGCAGTCGACCAAACAAATGGGCTCGGCTTCCCAGCCCAGGCTCTTCCTCGCCTCTTGCTTCCCTGTGCTCTCGCTCTCAAGTCCGCGGCGGCCCGGCCGGGTGGTACTTACACGCGGGCCCCTTCCATACGCCCCGGCCCGCGGCCGCTCGCCGCTGCCCACACTCCCCTGCGCTCGGGGGCCGCGGTCGGCGCTTCTCCGCGCCGCGCGGCTCAATGCTCAGCACTCCGCTGGGACATCGGGGGGGCGGTGGCGGCGGGGCTCGGCGCGGCCCGGGGCACTGGCAGGGCTCCCCGGGCCGACCTCCATGGACAGCTACATGTTTAGGGCCGCTCGGGTTAATATATGGCGTCAGAGGCGGCGACCGCCAATGGCTGGCGGCGGGGGCGGAGTCCGCGGGGCTCCGCAATAAAACTTTTTGATGTCGGCCCTGCTAATTGCCGAGCTCCTCGGCCGGGATTGGCTGCCCCTCCGCATCCAGAGCGTAATTAAAACGAGGGGGGGGAAAGGGGGGGAATTATCATGGAGGCAGAGGTTAATGCAAGTGTTTAGCAGATGCCTTACTGTAAAATCTTCGTTTAAAAAAAAAAATAGCAACAAAATCATTAAAATGTAAATATCGGACAATCCCGAGCCAGGTACAGTATGGATGCAGGAGATTTCTTGGCAAAAAAATCGTTGCGATCGTGGCGTTCACGGAGCGCTTCGTGCCGCTCCGTAGAGGATCACGTAGAAGCGGCTTCCGAGGACACCGCGGACGTCCCGGCCGCGATGGGCAACACCGCGCCCGTGCGCTTGGCGCCGCGTAACGCGCACAAAGGGAATGAGGGAGGAGCGCACCGCGTAACGCGAACCGGGAGAGCGGAGCGCGGGTCTCGGGCTCAGCCGGCATGGGGCTTTCAGCCAGAGCAGCTCCGAGGCACCGCCACTGAACCAGGCACCGAGCGCTGCCCCCGGCCCGCGACTGCGCCCGCACCTCGAGCAGCGGTCCTGGCGCGGTGCGGCTCCAGACGTCAGCTCCGTGTTTGTTTAACTGGGCTCTGCGGTAAGTCACAGAATCTTCCTTACAGCGTGTTCGGAACCTGCCTCCTCGCCTTTAGCGACAAATACAGATATTTTTCTCCGCATTCCCGCTCTGCGGCCAAAAAGAACACAGCCCGTGGGAAGAACAGTTCCAGGTGTTTGACTCTGAGGGAAGGAAAGCAGACCCCAGGCTGCGACCCGAGGAGAGCTGGGAGATGAGGCCGACTGCTGTTATCCTCAGACGGAGCCGAGCATCGCTCAACTGCGGGGAAACACCAAATCCCCACCCTCCTGCGCACTGCCCGACGGCTGATCTCATTCGGCGTATATTACAATGCGACCTCGCACTGTAGGCAGTGTGGAAAACTGTGTCAACAGGAGCCGAAAGGTCGTAAATTAAAGAAAGAGAAAGATAGAGACGAAGGAGCTGCAGAGGCGGTGGCGGAGCCGCGGGTCCTTCTCCTGCGGGAACACGGAGTTCTCGGGGCGGAGGCGGTGGGGATGCCTGGGGAAAGCACTGGGGAAGAGCAGGCGGGGAGCGGCCCTGCGCCGGGGGGAAGGAGCAGCGCTGAGCCCGGGATTCAACTCGGCCGCGCCCGGAGGCTGGGGGGCGGCAGGAGTGGCGGGCTCGGCGGGCACGACTGGGGAGCAGAGCGGGTGATGCCAGGCTCCAGAGGGAAGGGGAGAGCGGTGTGCAGTCTCTGGGGGCAGTGCAACGGGACAGAAAGCGGCTGTGCGTGCGTATGAGTATAAATCCGTGTGTGCATCCAGTGTACGCCATGAAAAAGCAAAGCCAGTCCAGACGCAGAACGTATGTAAATACACGTTCGGTCATACGAACGCATGCTTGCACTAAAACGACTGATAAATCTCTATCTCTGTATGCGCACATATGTTGTACTGTCCTAAGGAAATAACGTATCTCCGGTGCAGATTTTTAGATTGCAGTGAGGACGCGGGCACCACGCGTCCGTAGAACCCCGCGGAAGCCACCGGCACAGCGCCTACAGCGACGGCCGGCACACGGCGCTCCTCCGGCTGCGTTCGGCAGAGGTGCTTTCCTCGGTGCGGAGCAGAAGCGGCATTGCCGAGGCTGGGAGAATGCAAGGGCTGAGGATGGAGACATGCTCCTTTGCACTGTCCTTATTCGTGTAGGAGCTTTCTGACACACCACGGGCTGGACCGAAACTGCGGCAGCGTCCGTGGCACTGCGGTGACTCCGATAATGTCCCCTGTGATGAAGGGAACGGAGAACGTGAGACAGAGAAAAAGGAATAAAAGATCCGGGAGATATGGCTCAGAACACCGGTCTCGAAGCTCGAATCGTTATTGCTTAATTAGCTTTGGAGAAAGGGGCTCTCTCGCTAAAGCACCCAGCAGGACCATACATATAATTTTCCTCCTATCCCCCAGAGATTGCTTATGCATTTTATAAAGTGAGTTTTAGTGCGAATGCCTCCTCTTGTCCTCCCCCAACTCCTCGCTGCTCGGGCCGCGCTTTGCTCTTCGGCTGAAGCCGCCGCAGCCCTACATAACGTTCACAGGACAAGGCTCAGGGGCAGCTGACAAGTTTTTCCCATCTTCCATTTATTGATTTGAATTTTTTTTTCCCCACTCACATATCAGTCTCTTAGAAAAGGGGGAAAAAAAAAAGTTAAAAAAAAAAGTTTTTTTTTTAAAAAGGGTCTCCCCATATGTCATTTTTTTCCCCGCCAGGGGAAAAAAAAAAAAAAAAAGGTTGCACGTCGGGCGGGGAAATCTCTGCTGCCAGACAACACTTTCCGAGTTCGCCACAATTAAGAAGTTTTGGTGGCGACCGTGCCGAGGCTGCTTTTCCCCCCCCTTCACCCCAGGCTTTTTCTGTCTTTACGCACTTATCTGGGGGTGACTCTCCGGGGACGGCAGAGCAATCCCCCGTTCTGGGAGACGCGGAGCCGCCTGGGGTGCAGCGTCCTGTCCTGCTCCAAGCGGCAGTGAATGGCCTCTCCTTCATTCACCTTGCAGCTCCACTAACCCAAGGAACCCCCCAGCACCCCAAGGGCACCCCGGCCCTGTCGTCTCCACCCCCGGCTCTCTTTTCCTCTGGTTTTCTGCCTACCACATCTCTCGGCCGCCCGCTGCACGGCTTGGAGTAGCGTTTGGATTTATAGCGTGCATGATGTCACTGACCGGCAGTGAGGGAATGGGAAAAGGGTGTAATCCTCGGATGGGTTTGGGGACATTGTGGTGCCCCGTGCCCCAGCGGCACTTCCTTCCTCTGAGACTCCACTCAGGAGTTGGTGAAAGACCACAAAGCCTCAGGAAAGTGGACTTCTATAAAGAGGCACCGGAGAAATATCATTTGAAGGTCAACCTGTCAGCGTGGGTTAATGAAGAGGACTTGTGCCTAATGGGCCTACTTATGCCCGCAGTTACGCTCAGGCAACCTCGATTTCAGCGTCTGGGGCAGAGGGCAGAATTGGGCCCACCAGGCCCGAACTAATTGCTGCCCTTGAAAGTGCAGGAACCCTGCTTTACGTTACTGCTATGGGGAATGAATGTCCAGGCATGATAACCTATGCAGTGCATTTAAATAAATAAAGGAAAGGAAAGGAAAGGAAAGGAAAGGAAAGGAAAGGAAAGGAAAGGAAAGGAAAGGAAAGGAAAGGAAAGGAAAGGAAAGGAAAGGAAAGGAAAGGAAAGGAAAGGAAAGGAAAGGACATACAAAACATAAAGCAGGGATGAGGACAGTGAGCACTGTGCAGGTTGCAGTGATTGGCAGTAAGCATGGGACCGTGTGCGTTTTCCTACTGCATGTGTGAGCAATTATTCGAGGGTTGCTGATATTTGTGACTGAGGATCGAGAGTTGCATTCAGACCTTAGAAAGAAATCATGGAAAGAAAAGAAAAATGCAACGAACTCAAACCAAGAGCCCTTCTTTGTCAGAAGGATGATAATAAAGGCTGTAAGAAATGCTGCTGTGAGCACACACTGTGTCTCTCTGTTCTTTGGTTGCCAGTCTCCTGAACACCCCGTGTACTATCACGCACACAGATGCCTACAGACACGCACACATTTTTCCATGTAATGTTGTTTGCATTCCTGGGAAAGAGCATCCTGAAGCCGATCTTGAGCCCGGCGCTAGTGAACTTGCTCGCGGGTGCCATTTCTTTATTACTGATTTCTCCTCCAGCATCCGAAGTTCACGCACTGGAGGGGTTGGGTTAGCATCGTTTGGGGTTTAACAGAACTCAACGCTTCCATTGTTATCGAGGAAAGACCCCACTGGACAAGGCAGGGCTTTAAGTAGCGTTCAACATATCAAAAGCAACCAAGCCTGGCTTAAAAGAAGCCCCTCCGGAGGGTGGGAAATCCCCTCAGCGTTCCCCTCTCCGCAGCCCGAGTTTTGTGTGCCCGGTGCCCCGCTGCCGTGTGCCCGCATGGCAACGGCGGGCAGCGCTCGGGCTGCGGGCGGTGCGGCTACAGCGTCGGCCCCGCACTTGTCGGGGGCAGCGGAGCGCGGGGCCTCGGCGCGTATCTCAGTGTAATTGATCTGCCCGAGTGAGGTCTTTTTGGTAATTTGGATACACCGAGTCTCCAGTTAATGACATATAATCAGCCTTTAGGTCACTTGGTCATTCTCTTATTACAAACTCCTCCTGCTCTCTCTGATCTCCTTTCAAACTAAATTTCACACAAACAAATAAAGCAAGACAGGGACAAGTCCTTAAAACGCAAGAGAGAAATAACGGAGAATTGCTCGTGGGGAATTATAAACATTTTAAAAAGAAAAACCGAAAAGATAGGAAGGAACATCTTATCGAGAAAGAGAG